TTCATATAGATTTTTGATGCGAAATGTACAAAACTGACAAGAATTATTATAAAACATTGGTCAATTTCTATTTATACATTTTTCCCCTTTTGGAGTCTCTCTCTCTCTCTCTCTGGGAGTGTTCCACTCTATTTTGAACAGAGATTACTGGACGCAAATTTCTAGCAGTTTTAATATACTTCTGAAGGTGATACATACCGGCAGGGGTGCACAGAGGCCATGGTGGGTCCGGAGAGGTGCGGGTGCGCCTCCATGGTGACAGTCTTCTTGGCGTGGTCCTGCGACACGTCCTCGTACATCTGCTCCACGCTTAGCAGCCGGCGCTCCTGCGCACAACACACATTTTAATTGTTAAATAAACTATCGCTTAGTATAGATTTTTCATACTAATACAGTAGTATGGTTGTTACTGACCTCGTCGTACCCGATGAGCCAGAGGCGCGGCGTCTGGTAGTACTTGTCGTAGGTGATGTGCAGGTCGTAGGTGCGCGTGCGCACGATGTCATCCCCCTCCCCCTCGGCGCGCCGCCCCGCCCCCGACCCCGACTTGGTCCCCGCCCCAGCCGGCTTGCTCTCGCGCCGTGGCCGCAACTCTGTCGACTGAACCAGTATTTATAAACGCTATAGTACTACTGACGGCGAGATCTCAACGTAGTAAAAAGTGTAAATGCTTATAGCAATGTTGTGTAACTCACCGGGTCAACCTCATCAAGCAGCCCGGAAGCCTGGAACTGCTCCATGTCCTCAGCCTCGCCCTCTTCGTCGTCGTCGTCATCGTCTCCGTCCCCGGCGCCGCTCTCCCCCTGCCCCTCGCCACCGCTGTCGCCCGCGTCCGCAGCCTCCAGCGTCATCTCACACACCTATGTTGTCAATCATAATATTACATTAAGTGTCCATTGAAGAAAAACATGTACAAAAGCATATTAACATATGTTTTTTTTAGATAATGCGAGAGTGTGGAATCAACAGTGTTTCTAGATATTGTGGGGAGTTTTAGTACAGTCATACAGTTTATAAGAGCATTATTGTACCTTTTCCTCCACAGTGGGGGAGCCGGTGGAGTCGTAGTGATGAGTGTCCACCCAGCCTCCGTCCTCATCATTCTCATCTTCTATCACCTTCTCCTTGTCCTCGCAGTACTCAATCTGAAAACATTTTATATTATCACAGTATATTATATTAGAACCTAATTCTTAAGAAAATTAAAAGATTCATCAAAACACATGTAAGTATCAAATATGTAGCAATTCTCATAGTTTTAACTATATTTAACTTTATAACTTGTTAATAAAATATTATATACATGAATAATATGTATATAATCTAGTTTGAGGTCAATATCTCGCTTCAAGTTTATCACAAGACCTTGTGCATGAGTTGCTCACAATATAAATACAAATGTTGACAATTATTGCATATGTAAACATTGCAATTGCAACATTCAATTATATGTCATCCCATTCTCCTTATTAAAAACAAAATGTTGTCTTTACATATGTTTAGGAGATGGAAACTTTGAGAAATTAAAAAAAATGAAAAACAATTGAATCTCAATTGATAAAACTAATTATTTTTCATCTGTTGAATTTCTTCACATATGAACAGAGTAGATACATAATATAAAACTGCTCCATACTTTTAATATGACATATAATCCAATAAGACAAAGTTACCAACCAACCTGTTTACATCGCCTATAACATGGTACATTCCTTGTGATAAGGAACTGCTTATCGGAGGGTAGGTAGGGTCGTATTTTGGCCTCCTCACCGCGCGCCCATTGCCACGTGGGGCAGTGGTGCACCAGGTGGTCTCCTGCTGCTACAAACTCTTCAGGTGTAAGAACACCTGTCTCATGAAATTTTGACTCCTAAAAATCAATTCCTATATAGTACAAAAATATCACTATATTACATGCTCACTGTTTGTTCAGTATAGTCATATTTTAATGCTGTAAATGTGTGGATTACCTGGATGTGATTACTTTAGTATTCTGGTATTATCAAATTATTAAATAAAATATAAGGCTTTTCTCGATAATTATGCTCAAAGAATGTTGATAGCTAAGTTAATAACGAATTCAACAAAGGAATTCTTACAATTAGAACGTAATATTAATGTCAACAGTAACTTGCTTATGATAAATGCGATATTGTATTCACCGGCATCGATAACAATTTAAACATGTAAAATATGTTTTATGGTTAAGTTTGTAGTTAGCATTGTAAACAATCATAGTATTACCGTTATAAATGAAATAAAAACATTTTTTCCAAACCCACCTTCAGCACCGGGGTTAAATATCCAGCGACGCCCAAAGCAGTTCCTTTTACCGTATTAATTACGCTTTGCATTGTGTTTAATATTAATGAGCAGTGCTTATAATACTTGAGAACTCTTATATAAATTAATTATTTGTGTTTTATACCAAACAACGCAACTTTTATATGACCGCAGAAAAGTACAAAAGAGAAATATAAATCTTTGTAATTCAACTTCTGTCATTTACACAGAGCTTTATGACAGTGACAATGACATATGTCAACGTCACAAAGATCAAAACCAAAGAGTATATTATTAGAGTTTTACATACTCTTTGGTTATCATTATCATCCAAAGTGATGTACATTTTCCAAATAAGATACGACCTAAAGGTGTATGTTACCAGGTCATAGAATTAAAAAAAAATTATCAGTATCATTTGTCAACTGCCAATGTCTCATTGATTTTTTGACAATTATGTACGAATCGTAATTCATTTTCAGATATTATTTCGTAATTTACGTTTCCTTATACCGGCTTTAAGGAATAATACAACCTTATTTCTCCACAAACAAGGGAAATTAGTAAGATTTCATCATCATGGAGGACGTTTTAGATGAAGTTGTGTCGTCTGAGGATTTGCAAGTAAGAGACACTTTGTGTAACATATGTGATTCATTACAACGCTTTGTTCTTGACATTTATATTGTTGTTTTATAGAAATTCGAGCAAATATTTCACGAGCAATTGCATAAAGGTAACGTGACTCATAAAGCGCAATTCGAATACGCCTGGTGTCTTGTACGAAGTAAATACCCAACAGACATTCGTAAGGTACGTGCAACAATGTAGTTTTATCTGATTGCGTATTTGTTTTTTATTTTGGCTTAAAATATAATAACACATTGATATAAACTTTATTTATCAACTTAAATCCCGTTATTATTTGTATCATAATGCTCACTATTTCCTCAGGGCATCTTGCTCCTTAAGGAGCTGTTTAACTCCCATCCAGATGGGAAGAGAGACTACCTTTTCTACCTTGCCATAGGCAATGCTAGGATCAAGGAGTACAACAAAGCTCTGCACTATGTAAAGGCATTCCTTGAGATTGAACCTGCTAACCAGCAAGTTCTGACTTTGGAGGTAAATGGAATATTCTGCTTTATCAATTCTTTGAGATGATATTTAAAATTATATGTTTTATCATTATATCACAAAGAGGAACATTTATGAATTTTTTTATTGTCTATTTAAAACTTAAAAAGATTTCCCTGTTTTTGTTTTTCTTTATTATTTTATTGAAATGCCATTAAAGTGACTTGCATCTTAAAAAAACAAAGTGGATGTCATTTGGATTTGATCCAAAATTAAAATGTTTATAAACATTGATTTTTGGATTAAATCCAGGTAAATGTTTTTAATCTATATTTGTTTTTATGATTGAGTGCTTCCATTGTTGATAAAAGAGTTTTTAATATTATTAACAATCACCAGTTTCCAAGTATTCCTATATTACACAGTGTCTTTATATCTACAAAAGAGATATAAATATGACTCAACTAAGATAAAAAGAATGCTGAAGGATCAATATCTTATTCACTTGATATTATATTACAGAGACAAATCAACAAGAGAATGGAGAAGGAAGGTTTGTTAGGCATGGCGGTGGCAGGCGGTGCTGTGCTGGCTATCGGCGGGCTGGTGGGACTCGGCATTGCGCTTGCTTCTAGCAAGAAATAGCATTTAGCTTTACTGTAAGTATAGATATGTCTAATTTATGTCCAAATACAAAAGTACCATAATTTGCTGTTACATTATTATGTTTTTGTACTTATTTTATGGCAATGGAAACTCGCACTAAGGTTAAGCTTTCTTTGTGTATGTATTTTTGAGTTAAACGTAACAAATTTTAAATTTCAGAATGAATGCTATTATAGGTGTTCATACCTTTTTTAAGAAGAAGAAGATAAAAAGAGAATAAGAAGATAAAGGCAAAGTCTATCACAAAAAAATATTAAAATTTTCACAATATAAATATTAAAACTTTTTGTATAAATGTCAATGCTTAGTGATAAATATTTTCTATATCTTGCCACTTTTCTAGATTTGGTAGAAATTGGTAGATTTGATATTATCAGTCGCATAATTTTGCTAATATCTTTTTTTTAATTTTCAGAGAATATTCTATAAAAAAGTAACATCTCTAAGACATAGTGATTTATGATTAATTTTATTTTAAAAGACAAACAAAATGTCACTATTGATGGTTTAGATTTCTTGCTATTATAATAACAAAATAAATAACCAAATCAATACAGTTTAGACTGATTAATTTATAGTTGCTAGTTACAAAAAAAAACTATGATATATAGATGCAGGGCTTTGAAAACTTATATTTGCATAATTTGTTATGTTACATCATAATTCTTGTTTTTGTTGTTATATAGATGGCAACATTAATGTATATATAAATTAAATGTGTAAAAATTAAACATGGCAACACTTGTACTACTTGAGCTTCAATAACAGTATGCAAACTTAAATAGTAAAAGTTTAAAATCTTAAATATATATCCACGATATAATTTTTTTTTATGAATTATTTACATGACATATTGGGTTGTATTTATTTTAATGTAATGTATTTTATTATGAAATGCACAATAAGTGCATTGTTTAACTTTCCAAATATTTCCAAATTGTAGTTATGTTCATTTTGTTCTAAGAATATATAGATGTTATATTTATGTGATAGTATTTATTTCTGTAGATTTAGTCACTCGTAGATTAAGGGCATGTGATCATTTGATTTAATAAAATATTTTATCAAAGTGATATCAATTAATTAATGTAGTTTTGTTTTTAACATTCGAAAATATATACAAATAACAAGCGAAAACAAAAAAAAGTTGATTAGTTACTTGCAAATTGTTAAAACAGTTGAAGATCTTTTGTCATATCCCAAAGTCGTCCACTGCTGAACGTAGACGTCCCATCATTGCCACAATTCCTGATCAAAAGATATGTTAATTATGATTGAAACGACAATATCAAAACAATTTATCTTTATTATTTTTGTTTATTATAATGTATTGAAGCAGCATACAGCAGTACTCTAACGTACGGCGAAGGCGTGGCTTGAACATGTTTAAACAATTACAGCTTAACAACCGAAGTGCGTTTGCATTGCAAATCATTGCGTCCGAAAAACTTAAATAAACATTTTTGTAAAGTGGCAACATTCAAAACGTCGTATACACTAGCGCCGCTCATCAAACTCAAAAGATAAACTTAGAAATCTAAGTAAATTAAAGTTTACAATAAAACAAATTAGTTACGTTCTTAATTTTATAATAATTTGAGATACGCAGTACTTAACGTACGGAAAACAAAACATTTTTAGAGTAAATCAACAAATTAAAACGTGTAAACACAACTAACACTACACGCTTACAAGCTGGTTTTTTTTTATTAAATTATTTTGTGCCCTCTATTTTAGAATATTATACCCAAAATCTGCATAAATAAGTACAAAAATGATAAACAATATTGAATTGAACATTACAATTGTTTTAATATGCTTTTTGTAAATTAATAAAATACGAAAATTCTTGACATATGGAAATTAAAATTAGCAAAGATATTTGTGTAGTCGCGTGTAAATAGTCTGCAATTAATCTCAAGAAATTACATTATTATACATTCGTCCCTCGAAAGAAGTATTTATTATATTTTGTATACATATTTACGATATAAGATATTTCTTCTGCTGTAACCTAACTATAGTTTTTCTTAGTAATAAATAGCTTTGTTTTAAAACAGAAATCTTACTATACAAAAAATAAGTTTTGTGCTTGATGTCAATTATTTCTACCAAAAATATTTCTTCAACCTACTCGTTAAACGGCTAGGTTGTTTACAGTAAAATATATAACGATATATGTGAAGTCTTTCGGGGAACGTTTAAACAATTATCAATAATGAGTACAAGAACAGCTAATAAGGTAAAGTATAACTAAATATAAAAAGAAAACATTAATACGGAACTTCCAAAGTCCACAAGGTAACTAAATGTAGTTTATACATAATGCAAAGAGCATAATCATTTATAATCGACTTAAAGTCCTATGTATTACATCTCCACTGGTATATATTTTAAGTACTCTCAACAATACTGCAATGGGCACGGAGCTACGTCGATGCAGTTTTTACGGACAATCAATTCTGCAATAAATATAATATCAAAATATTATATCTCTTCTGTCATGTCCTTTCTTGGGAAATATTCATCCGAAAGACCTTTCTGATTCTTATAGCCTCTTAACTAATCGTCGACGTAGCTCGCACACACGCGATATATTCAACTTGTAGCATGCAAAAGTGTATTTGAAAAAATATATGGCTATTTACTTAAACATATTTTTCTGGTAACTGTCTATTGTAAAGTGTAGCGTGCGTCGACGTCTATTATAGTCGCTTTTCTATCGCTGAATATTTTAATCTAAATAAAACAACCCCCAACGAAATCGCGGATTAAGCACACCGTTCTCTAAACAATTAAAACTTATTTATATACAGTCAAAAATAATTACTCACTATGGCAACACTGTTAACTGTCAACAAGGTTATGCATTCGCAAACCGATCCGACATAATTTGTCAAATCTCACTAACACACTAAACGAAATAAAAATCAATCAACCCGTAGCACTTAAAATCGAGCTAAAATATTATCTCTCGCCTACTCACATCCGTACACTCCGAACTGTCACGTTGACAGCCGGCATCTGTCATATTTGACAGCCGGCAAGGCGCGGTATGGCCACTTAATAAATTCCAAAACGTACCATTATTCTCATATAAAAGATTAAATGCTTCCTATTGACCTAAGTTCTTAAATAACGTGATTTCTAATCGGGAAGTAAATATTTTTGTGACTCGCTTACGATGTATTCTTACCACATACTAAATAACTATAACATTGTACTCTAAAAAATATGTATAAGTATCGAAGGCTAATATGAGATTGTGATCACAGTAATCGTTATTCAAGTAACGAGCCCACATCATTATTACAAAATAAACTTTCTCGCTTTCTAGTACAAGGTTCATCTGACCGCGGAGCGACGCGTCGCAATCGGCTTAACAAACTACCCATATTATATTTACACAACTTCCAAGGCAACATCAAGGTATACTTTATTTATTGCTTTTGTTCATTATTATGTACTTTACATATCACCACAGTTTATATACAACGTAATATTATGTCATAGGTATTGCGGTATAACAAACTATTTGAACTTTCACGAATATCTTTCATTAAAACCGTAACCGAGACGAAAAAAATCGTTCAGTCTCAAGGTGGTTGTAACAATATGAAAATACTCGCGCGGGTCGTTTGAATGATCGTGTATTATATTATTCAAACGGCACGAAATCGATTTGTGTAAATAGTATTAGTACGTTTTAAGCTCTGTATTTTGTTCGTATACAAGATATTTTGTCTTACATTAGAGTGCTTCCGATACAATAGGTCATGTGACCCGCTACGGTCGTGACGCAGTGTAACGTTCCTCTATCCAGTGCGTACTCTATACAAATTATATGAAACACTTGTCTACGGGCAGCACTAACGTTCTCCTAATGACTTGCATAATATTTACCTACAATATACTCTATATAGTATATATAAATGCAATCTGCAAAATGCATAAAACAACAGTTATTATATCTATAAATTGTATAAAATATTAAATAAAATCTATTGAAGTGAGGTAGATGGATGGAATTTCACAATTTGTGTGGATTTATTTAATTAATAACGTCGCCGCATCGGCCCGAATGCTGAGGTAGTTGGATGGAATTACTATGTAACAGGTCCTACTTTGTGACCGGGACCTTTACATTAACGATACAAAATCACTACTCGCTAACAATATCTACTAAGTGTGGCCGGCGCGGGGTCGCGGGGCGGGGCGCGCGAGCCGCGGGGCGGGGCGTGCGGGCCGCGGGGCGGGGCACGCGGACCACGGGGCGGGGCGTGACTCGCGGTATCACAAGGGACAAACACAATCTCCAATCTCGCTACGACGCAACACTGTCTCTATAGAGCAGGCAAACCTTCATCTTACAACATTTCTGCAGCCAAGGTTAGACCTACACTAACTCTCCTGTTCTAAGATTCATACTTTAAATCGTTTTATCAGACGTCTAATTTGCACTTACAGGTATCTGCAATATTACACACGTATTAAATGCACATCATTCTGTCTGCACAGTCCGGGGACTCGAGTGGCCGAACAGCGACCGGTACGGGCTCTAAACGTTATATTACTATATTTAATATACATAACATGGTTAATGGCACCAAGGACATTCCACGGGTCAACAATGAAACCGTTAAAACAAAATCAGCTAATGACGTAACAACACTCGAGCACCGCGCGTGGACCGTCATCTATATTGTCCTACAACTGTATAGCGCTCCCTCTCTCTCTCTACTCGGCGACGGTCACCTCGCCATTTCATGAGGAGGGGGCTTTATTCTCTTCCTCCGAGTAGTCCCCCTCCTCCTGGCCGCTGGCCTCGTGCTCTCTCTCCGAGCTGTTCACTCTGTTCCTCTCCTCTTCATTGTAACTCTTGTTATAATAATCTTTGCTCATGTCCTTCTCCATGTCCTGTTTGTCGACGTCGAGGTCGCTGATGCTGTCGTTCCGCTGGCGCTCCTTGCCGAGGTCGAGGGGCTCGTCCGCGTCGCGCATGATGTCGGGCTTGCTCATGTGCTCGGTGTACTGGCGCTGCATCTGCTTGAGGAAGCGCTGGTGGGCAAGCGTGGTGGGCGGCGGCGGCAGCGAGCCCATCTGCGGTGAGGGTTCATCGTACGTCTTCCTCTCCATGTGCATCGCGTTCATTTGAGCCAGTTTCGCCGCGTTCATTCCTGGAATATATACGAGCGTAATTATTTTCTTCAGATGAGGGGACAAGTTTTAGTTTGTTTATGAAAGCCATTAAAGAATAGTAACTGACCAAAGACGTTCTCGCCGATGTACTGGAGGTAGGTGTCGAGTATGGCGGAGCCGCCGCCGAAGCCGGGCGGGTAGTCTTCGTGCTTAAGTCCGGCGAGGCCATGCGGCAAGCTCTCCACCGCCTTGGCAGTCACCGCGCGCACCGCCGGCACCTTCGTTATCGTCGTGTTGGTCAAGTTGTTGATGTCTGTCGACAATCATAAAATCATAAATTCACTCTTCATCAATTCGTAGCAGTACTTATTACAAAGAAGGAGGACTTACGCGGTGGCGAGCCGGCCATGTTGTCCTGGTAGCGCGGCTGGCTGAGCTCGTCGGGCTCGTCGCCGCCGCACAGCGAGCTGGTCTCCGAGGCGGCGGACTTAGCGTCCAGCTTGATGTCGGAGCGGCGCGGGCCAGTCGGCGAGGCGCGCGCTCGCAGCTGCTCCGGTGACACCTTCACGCCCGCTTTCGCTAACAACCTGCAACATGTACATATTTGGTGCAGTTAACTGTAATGGCCTGAAAGTAATTTATAATATTTATTTTATACCATTTTTATACTTTGATTTTGTCAAC